AAATGCCCAAAAACTCATTTTCCGAGCTTTGAAACCTCGATTTTCGAACTTACCGCCCCTGAAAACCCTTAAAAACATTTTTAAAAAACAATTTGCCATCGGTGGGATTCGAACCTGTGACCCCTTGGCTCCAAAGTTGGGGGTCGAAAATCCCACTAGGCCATCCGAGCATCTTTTTGAAAAATGTGATTTTTGGGCTGAAAAATGGGTTTTTGGGCATAAAAATGTCAATTTCAGGTGTTTTTAAGCCGAAAAAGGCTCGAAATTGTCGCTTTTGCGCTCATTTTCTAGCTCAAAACGCTCTAAAATTGCTTATTATGAACCAAAATCGGTGTTTTTGAGCTCAATTTAAGTGCCTTTTCAAGACGAATTCGATTTTGCGCGGTTTGAAAATTGTAAAATCGCCGGTGGGCAAGCTTAGACCAGATCTTGCCCATCGCTCCAGAATTGCTCATTTTGAACCAATTTTTTGCAGTGCTTAGGTCTCGTTTTGAGCGGGTTCTAAGGACAAGCTTAATTTTGCAGCAGCTGTGATAATGCTAGAAAAATACGAAAAAGCTCAAAATTCAGAATTTTAGGAAAATCTCAATTTTGCAGTTCGAACCGCAACCATACGAAGGCATGCGTGGAGGACTCTACCTGAAACTGCGACCCGGATGTCTAGCATGGGCTCATAATAAAAAGAATCTACTCGATTTTATGTATAATAATACGATTTTGGTGGATAAAGTGGCGCTGAACGTCCGGCTGCCCGACCTGCCCCCGCTAATTGAGACGGCTGGCGTTTTTGCGTTTTTTGCACCCAGTCAAGACGTCGCCAATCAAATTCATCATGCTCCCGATGGTCTGAGCCCGTGGACTGTGAATGGTAGGGGTTTTTTAGCCGGAAAATTTGCTCCAAAATGACCAAAATTGGCCGAAATTGGGCAAAAATTTTCAAAAAATTTTTTTTTTCGAAAATTCCAAAAATCTTGAAAAATTTGGAATTTCAACTATTTTGACTCAACTTTTCAGTTTCAGCACAATTTCAGCTTCGAAATGAGCCTACACACGACCCATTTTGGACGATTTTGAAGGGATGGGCAAGGAAAGGCCAGATCTTGCCCATTGCTCTAAAATTGCTCGTTTTTGATCAAAATTGACGGTTGTTAGGCTAATTTTGAGTGGCGCAACGAGCTGGGCATCAAATTTTCGAATTAAACTGATTTTGAGCTTTAAAATGAGCCAAAATGTGACTAATTTTGAAATTTTGAGCAAAAATTTTTTTTTTGATTTTTTCTTAGGAATTTCAAAATTTCAACTATTTTGACTTAAATTTTCGTTTCTAGCACGTTCTCAGCTTCAAAATGAGCCCAAACACGACCCATTTCGGACGATTTTGAAGCGATGGGCAAGGAAAGGGCAGATCTTGCCCATTGCTCTTAAATCGCTCATATTCAATCAAAATTGATGGTTTTTGTGCTCATTTTGACGGTCCAAAACGGGTAAGACTAAGAATTTAGGGTTTGAGCGTTGAAATGAGCCCAAATTTTGAAAAATCGAAAAAAAAATAGTTTTTTGAAAAAAAAATCCCAAAAATTTTTTTTTTCGAACTTTTGAAAATTTCAACTATTTAGACTTAGATTCAAAGTTCCAGCACGTTTTTAGCTCCAAAATGAGACCAAACACGAGCCGTTTCGGGCAATTTTGAAGCAATGGGCAAGGGCTGGCCAGATCTTGCCCATTGAAAATTGGTGGTTTTTGGGCTCATTTTGAAAGCTCTGAACGATTTTAGTCGAATTTTGATGTCCATAAATTTGAAAAATTCAATTTTCGCATGTTTTGGGCAAGGGTTGGCAAGAATGGGCAAATTTTAAACATGTCCCAAAACTCTCTAATTTGTGGCTTGAAAAACATTTTTCGCGACTTAAAATCGATCTTTCTGAATTTTTCAGAAAAAAATTTTTTTTTGAGTTTCAAAATAAGCCTAAATTTCAAAATTTTTAAATATTTTGAAAAATTTTTTTTTTTGAAAATTTGAAAATTTTCAAAAAAATGTCGTTTTTAGACTCATTCAAACCCATTTCTCAAGATTAACTCGATTTTTGATGCCTTGAAATCGGAAATGTTCATTTTCAGCCACCGGAATGCCGGATGACGATCCATCGCCGGCGCCACGTGTCCGTTCAACGCGACGAGCACTGATTCTGGAGCAGGATGGAGCATTATCACTGGCGAAAGATCCGAAAGAGCAGACAGATTGCATTCTGGTGGAGACCATGTCCACGTTGGCCAGATGCAAGAGAATTCGGAAGAGGGTGAGTAGGAAAAATTCCTCAAAAACGGAGTTTAGCGTATGAAAATAAGTAATTTGAGCTCGAAAACGAATTTGGCAGGTTATTCCGGTGAAAATGAGCCCAAACACGACTCATTTCGGACGATTTTGAAGGGATGGGCAAGGATAGGCCAGATCTTGCCCATTGCTCTAAAACTGCTCATTTTTATCAAAATTGGGGGTTGTTAGGCTAATTTTAAGTGGCGAAACGAGCTGAACATCAAATTTTCGAATTAAACTGATTTTGAGCTTTAAAATGAGCCAAAATGTGACTAATTTTGAAATTTTGAACAAAAATTGTTTTTTTTTCGATTTTTTCTTTGGAATTTCAAAATTTCAACTAATTGGGCTCAAATTT